AATTTGCAGAATTTCTGAAATCGTCGAAATTCTAATTTACTTGTTTTTTTGTACCTCCACATCAATCTTCTTGATACTTTTCTTCATGTTCTGAGTTGCGGAAATTTAAGCGTTTTTGCTAGAATGCTCAGTGTTTTTGTGCATCTTTAGTGCCTAGAATTAGGCTTTCCTTATGGCCTTAGTAATTTTAGCATGCTTCCTTAGCTAAAGTCCTTTTTGTTGCACCTAAATTCGTACAAAATTTCGAAGTTTCAAGCAAGATAAGTGAGAATTTTTCTGCTTTTTTGGCCAAATGTGTGTATTTTACCAAGCTTAGCTAGTCCCAGGGATTGAAGTTTCAATTATTTGCAATAATTTTGCAGTATTTTTAATATTTTCGTTGTTATCATTATCGTCACCATCATCATCACAAAGTAATGATTTTCATTGTTTGCAACCAGATCAAAAAATCATCGTCATCGCCAGGTCTTAAAATCTACATCATCAGTTTTCATCGAGCTGCTTATTGAAAGCTGCATAAAAATTGCGCGAGATTGTTAACAACTTCCAATTCGTTTTTGTTTTTTGTTTTTACTAACTGTCATTTATTTAATTGTCATGCAAAATATGCCTATGTACGATCAGTTATGATGCAGAGCGCGGCATATTGTTTTTTCTCCGCTGCTACTGCTGATACTTTAAATTATTATGATTATATACAGGCCGTTTTTTGTTTGAAAAGAATATATATAAAGTTTTGTGATTGATTTTGCTTCTGATCCAACTGATGTAATTCCTCTGAATCGCTTTTTTTTTGGCGAACACTGTGTTATCTCTGTCGAGCAGCCTATGTTCATTTTTGAGAGCAGTACGTGAAATACTTGGGATCATAGACGGATGCAGCGTGGTTTCCCGGGAAGGGGATTTGAGCGATTTTTCTCCCTCCCCTCCCCCCTCCCCCCCTCCCTCCCTTTTCCCCTCGTTCGTTTTTCCTGCCAGCAACAACCGGGTGGGAGGGGAAGACAAAGTGAGGTTCCTAGTGAGGGGGGGGAGGGGAGGAGGAGGAAAGGGAGGGGTAAGTGATGTCGCAGACAGTTTTCTTCATTTTTAGGACTGCAACCTTTGCCACTGGGGGAAGAAAGAGGTGCGCGTGTGTGTGTCTGTGTGAGTGTGTGCATGTGTGTGTATACTTGTGCTGAGCACCAAATAATTGATAATTTCAGGTTTTTTGGCTTCTGGACAAATTCATTTCGTGATGGTATTTCATTTCTTGTGGAAGTATTTTTTTCTAAGGTGACAAGAACTGGACTGCAATCGATGCTTTTTGGTATGTTCAACCTATCTGCACATTTTTTTTTTTGTTCAGAACAGCACTGGGGCCATCCAGAGCCACTTCTGATCACTAGCTCTTAGTTTTCTAACGTTTCGAAAAACTTCACCTACAGAAATGAGGTGGAAGCATAGGAGGATCTAGGGCGGCTTCCTGGAGGAAGGGGGTTGCGGAAGAGAGTTTTCTTCAGTTTTAGCTTTAAGCCCGGGCTTCTGCAGCACTGATGCCTGTGCCATCGTCTGCGCCCCCCTCCCCTCCCCTTCCGCCTCCACCTCCCTCCCTCTTGCCTTCCCCCATTCTGGATTCGTCTGTGGCAGGTTTCATCAGATCATCAGCAAAACAGAGGGACAACCGACAAAGAGGAGGGGATACGGATGCTGAAAGGTAGTGCTTCTGTGGAAAATGACGTAGTTTGAGGTGAACATTTCCCCTGTCTTTCTTGTTTGAGACCTTGTAATCGGCGCATCGAAACACAGATCTTTGAAGCTGATAAGTCCCCTGGAAGGTGCTGATGGTGATAATGGTGATGACTGAGGCAGAGGAGGCCGAAGGAGGGAGGGGGAGGGATTGGACAACCAGCAACACATCAAACAAACGAGGACGAAACACGACAAGACGGAGATTGTTATCGGAAGACACAGAATATCACCGCACATCGCACAGAAACAGAGGAACAAAAACCTCATTCAGTGAAAAGCGTAGCAGAGCTGTAACCTCAGCGACCACTTCCTTCATATTTGGAGGTATAATCAGCAGACAAATGGCGAACAACAGATTGTCCTGACAAAGAGAACACAACTGATCTCAGGGCAGTGACCCTAATTAACCTCCAACAAATCGGATATCTTTTTATAAGCCGATTGTAGTAATCAGATTGACCCCGAAACCATGACGAGCGGACGATAGATTATAGCATGAAAGAATAGTATGGGAAAAGAGGGTAAGAGTGAGCTAAGACGTTTCAATCCATTAAGTCATATACGGCTTAACTCAACACTGCGACAGGACCCTTGTAAATATTAGCTATCGCAATAAATCCAAGGAATAGGTATATCCTTTTGAGAGAAATTCTTTTTCGATAAGAAATCTCATCAGCGAAGAGCAACGCTGAGAAAGAGGTGGTATGGCTTAGTAGTATACATCAACGGGCAAAATCTTGCTAAGTCTGTTTCTATGAGAACCGTTAGGATGATAATTTTCGTTCAGGAGGCGCGAAATGAATGTCAGGATCGCAAGCAAGCAGGCTGACCATTACCAGACGAGGAAGCACTGGTCAAAACAATTTAAAAGACGAAAAGTTACGTCAAACTCACAAGTGCACTTCCGCACCACGACATAACAGTTCTTCAAGACATTCTAGGTATGTTATACTAACATTCTAGATATGTTATACTAAAGAAAAAGCTTATATATAAGATCAAAGCAGCTCAAGAACGAAGCATTTTTACCATTTTCCACATTTTGGTACTTCTGATCGAAGTGTACAAATCAAGCAGGAACTGTAATATTTGCTTAGCTGCTGTTTTGGCTGTACTGTGAAGTACCGGCACTCGTCCCCACTGGTAAAGAAATCTTGCTTTGAGCCAGAGTATAAAACTCTGTGTTGTGTTTATTGAGTTTACGCGTGAAAGCAAAATTTTGGATCGAAATTTACAGACTACCGGTACCATGTGTCGAGTTCGAACTCCAAACCCCTCCGTAATCGCTTTCTATGCAAAGCAGAAACATTCAGAAGCATCCCGAGGGCAGCAAGTGCGCTCTAGCACCAAAATCTCTGAGTTCATTTGCTTTACCGCGTTAAACACCCATCATAATGAGCATTTATTACCATGTCCAGGTACCGGAATATTGACCCTTTCGATCACCGAGGTGGGTTTGAACCCCTGGTGGTAAAGGCTATTGATGGTCTGCCTCACCCAGGTTTGCCTACGAGTAAGCTGAGGGCGATAGTACCATAGGTACTCTCTTTCTTTTTGGTAGAATTATGATGTGACTGATATGGTCAAATGTAGAAATGTTTTTTTTGTAACCAGGCAACATGTAAAATATGGCGAAAATTATTAAACTCAACAAAAGGCACTCCAATGATAAAAGGCAAATGTAAATACATACAAAAACAGAAATTGATAAGAGATGAGATCAATCAATGTTTGTACAGAAAACTTGGCCGTCAAAAATCAGAGATCCGTCGCGCTATCTTATCAGCCCTATAACTTTTTTTGCCCCTTAGCTTAATATGTTGATTTGAAACAGTGTTATCTTAGTACTTTTGAGACAGAAATCCAAAAATTGTCCTGGAAAAAGCACTGTGTGAAACATAAGTCTTGAGCGCATTAGTTCATGCCTCGAATTTTTGTCTAGTACTCCTAGTCCCTTCCCCAAATCCTGTCTGCAGAGCAGCG